TTAGCAGGATGCAGCGCACCCTTCATGCGACTCGCCGAATACCTCACGGCGCTTCGCGCTTGGTGACGTGAGAGCCTGGTCCTGTGAGAACCCGGCGTGCTCCGTCCCTGCTTTGTACGGATGCGAGGTCAATGGTCTAACGACTACGGCATGTATGAGTACACACACACACACCCCGGGGGATATCTAACGTTTTGATTTGTGCTTATGGAGAAGTTTCATCTCCGGATGTCGTTGCTGGGCGCGGGTTGGGGGGGGGAGAGGGGGGGCGTACTCTATGTTTTGCATGCCTTAGCGGTTCGACCATTGACCACGCGTCCTCGAGAGGACGGAGGGTTGTTCCCACAGGACCGATCACCGATGGTCAATCGTTCCTCCCTACTTTGCCAAAGGTGGCTCAGTAATGTATTCCCTAGTCTATCTATCCCAACGATATCACTTCCCGCCTTTTCAAACCACTTCCTAGTCCCCAGTACAGCTACCGTCCTTTCCTCTCTATTCCATGCCTCAAACATCTCCCTGTACGTCCCATCTATTTTTCCCAGCTCAGTGATGTACACCTCCCTCTCCTTCTTGTACCACTGACACTCCGCGACTACATGAACACGGTCTTTGCATTTGAAGCCGCAATCACATTTGAACTCGTCGTCTTCGTCGTCTACAGTCCTATGTCTTCGTCGACGTTCTCGAAGGCCTATGTCCCCGGTCCTGAATTTGACCTTAAGCTTTGTCCCTGCATCCATTGGTCCATGTAGGCAATCCTTGAGCCCTTTTCCTTCTTTCAACATTCCGTACACTTCTAGACCCTCCTGATCCTCGGTTTCTTTCCTTAGATTCTGTTCTTCTCTCTCGGCACATGCAACAGATATCTTCTCCTTGAACCCTGTGGACCCTCCGTTTCCAGCGTTTCATCTTGGTCGATTTCGAACCCCTTCCATACGTCCTCTACAACCTTGACCCATTTCATGTGTTGTCTACCCTCCTTTGTGTTTGCTGGGCGTGGATTGGGGGGTGCCTTATGTGCCCCTATTTGCTGGATCTGAAAGTATTTGTATGTTTTCGAGCTCATGTAGAGCGGCGAACATATGAATATTTCTACCGGGTGCGTTATTGTGGGTACAGGGTTATCTTGTATCGCATGCGGTAGTCGCTTTCGTGGAGGGGAACAGCTCCTGGATGAACGGTCATGTTTTCTTATCTGAAGATGTATGTATTGTATCCTATCTCGGCATTATTGTATGTGTGGGGTATACTGTTGGGGGTCCAAGTGCGGGACCCCCGTGCGAGAGAGAGAGAGAGAGAGAG